CCATTATTTGAAATAATGTTACGCCAAGATCAAAGGATGACGTCACATCTGTATTTTAGAACCTTATTATAGGCCTGCGTCTACTTGAACCACAGGCACTTGAAGGGATTAAAATAAAACTTCTTACTACTCTTTGACTATATATTACAATAATATATAGTCAAGCAGTAGTAAGAAGTTTTATTTTAATCCCTTCAAGTGCCTGTGACTTGAACGTTAGAAATAGTTTTATTCTAGCGTCAATTTCTGTCATATTTAATTTATTACGCTGGTTAAATATACTAATAGTGTCTTTTATTTGAAACGAATAATTGGTGAATTCGAATCCGTTCGTTAATTCTGCTACTATTATTTCTAATCTGAAAATTATATGATGAAATATGAATGAAGTAATAATATGTATATTTATGACGACATACAGTTCTGTATGTCCCAATCTAATTAAAATACAGATCTATATTTCGTTTCGGTTTTTTATACTTTCGATGGCCTAAACTACTTGAAAATCTGACCGGTTGTACTCGATGGTCGTGTCAGGGGTCGTACGAACAGCTTTTGACCCTATGACGTCAGACATTGATTAATCAATCAGCATTGACGTTTATAGTGGTTTACCCACAGTTCCGTGCATGGCACGCCAAGAAGTCGCCGTAACAGACCATCCCTCACTTCAGCAACTCTTCTAGATCCTAGTGTAGTAAAGACAAGTAAAACTTAATTTTGAACTATAAAAAACGAAACTAAATAGGATCTGTGTTTTAATCAGATTGTGTATATCCACAATAATTGTTCACTCTTCAATAATTTTCCCGTCTACAAGTTGTTTGATGTTAGTTGCTAAGTAACCACAAGCCTTAAATATATATGTAAAAACAGTCTGCTCTTGTACTTCACTTTGGTTTACGATTGTTGATAGTTTATATTTATCTACATGTTATCTGTTGATGTTTTATTTCTAGGTACATTTATATCCTAGGCCACGCCAATTTCAATTTCTATCCTTGGGGTTGACACCAGTTAAAGATACATTATGTAAGATTTAGATAAAGAGCTGAACATTCGTGCTATAGTAGTTCAAAAATAGATAATATAAAATGAAAATATTGATAATTTCATTCAAATTACTTCATTCTGAGTCAAGTTATCACTGTTTGTAGTTTTGACAAGACGTGTGCATTGTCGTAACCAGGGCACTGGTATATTCGAGATTTAGCCTCGCTTTCCCAATTTTAAATTAAATTTTTAAATGGCGAACCGTTCTAATCTAGTTAATATCTCGAGTATCCGATGCCATCGAGGGTTGATTATAGTCTTGTTTTGTTACTAAATGTCTAATTAATAGTTTATAAACATTTCAGGCCTAAAGAAAGACCTGCAACAGGCAGATTTTGCTCCAATCTGATTCAAATACAGATCTATATTTCGTTTCGTTTTTTTATACTTTCGATGGCCTACACTACATGAAGATCTGACAAGTTATAGCGATAGGTCACGTCAGGGGTCATAAGACCGACTTATGACCCTGTGTCAGACATTTGATTTACCAATCAGCATTGATGTTACTAGTGGATTACCCACAGTTCCGTGCAAAACACGCCTAAAGCTCGCCGTAACAGACCGTTTCATTGGTTTATCCCTGACACCATTCAGAACACCAGTTAAATAACAACTCTTCCAGATCCAAGTGTAGTAAAGGCAAGTAAAACGAAATTTTGAACTATAAAAACGAAACGAAATAGGATCTGTGTTTTAACCAGATTGATTTAGCTCTTGCATAATGTATTTTTAAATATTTTACTTCTTATTTCTTTGGGAAAACAATAATTTTAGAACAAATAGTACCTCGTTGCTTTTTTAAAAGATTTTAGTTCCACGTAGTTATGTTTTGGATTATTTAATAAGATCCCGAATAACTAGAAATTAATTTAGTTGTGCCTAACCAACAAGTATTGTTTATATGTTGTAGCAGGTGCCCTATACTAGTATTGTTTATATGTTGTAGCAGGTGCCCTATACTAGTATTGTTAATATTTTGTAGCAGGTGCCCTACACTAATATTTGTTGAAGGTTATTTTTCTATGAAATCCAATATTATCCCGAATGGATGCAATATATTTTGTACTTTTTATTAGACTTTTTGAATAAATTAATTGTTGAAATAAATGGCTTTCTCATTTCTTCCTTTGCTTATTGTCGTTTGAATTCTAATGGGTCTCTAGTTTTACCCTAGAACCCTCCGTACTGAGAACAACGAAAACACCCCATGGAAATAACCGTACTGGCTGTTAGTATGCTAGTCTCAAAATAACCCAAATAAATGATCGACACCTCAGAGGCGGGTTCAGAGGGGGGGGGGGTACATAAATTTAAAACTTTAAAACAACACTTTTTATGAGAAAAGTTTCATGGTCGTTTGCTTTATCCTTTATCATCAGATGGTTCTACTACGACGGATGGTCGTCTGACAAGCTTAGTGCTAATGAACATTAACCATTCTATTGGGTTAAATATCGATGACATTATAGAACGGTTCATCAAAAAATATCACGCCGGTTATTCTTCCCATTATATTGTGCAGTCATAATTCATTGTGTAAAACTCTATTTTAGGCTCTTGTCAAGTTAGTTGTGTCCCGCCGTATTGGAAAAAACTAAACGAATAGTTTATGTGATGAATATTCTTGATATTTTGGTGTTTGACACAGTCGCGGTCCGTTTTTGTTTTTCTATTTTGTTTCCTTAAAGTTTGCTGCCAAAATCGTAGAGAAATAATTTATTTTACATATCAGTAAAACTAAAACGTAGCGTAGTGGTTGCTTGTATTTAGTATATTTGTATGTTAAATCCCAGTTTCTGTTAACGTGATCTCTGGTTACCCCAGATATATGCCAACATGACGATAGAGACCGTGTATATCTCAAAACTTTTCAAGGCGCGGGGTGGGGAGAGACACCCCCCCCCCCCCCACCTTCCGAGGTACATTGTCTCAGGAACCTGGCAAACCCCCTGCTGCAAAAATTCTTGGATTCGCCCCTAATTTGTCCATAAACTTTGAAATGGAAGTGGTTTTATTATAGCCTTCCTAATCATGTAAGGCGTGGTTGTAATTTCTTGATCAAATGTTTAGGCGGTTTGGAGGACATTGAGAGGTGTCAACGTACAAAAGACATTGCAATTAAACGGCGGAAGAAGAAGTTAACAGACAATGATTAAGAATTTACTTAGGTCTCAACATGTATGATAAATGGACAGTAAGTAATAAAAAATACACTCTGAAAAAATGACCCTCATTGAAGCGAGGTGACAGACATGGCGTGTACCAACAGTTTATTTTTAGCTTGAGGTATCTCCCCGCGAAAACAAAGTTTTGAGAGGGATTTCAAGCAAAGTTTTGATAGATTAATTAGCTTGAATATGTTTTTAGTCCAAATATATCATCTAATCACCCAGTTTATACGCTGGAAAGTATCTTTAAAACAACACAAAATATTTGAGATATTTATTTATAAATTATTTTAATGAAAATGATGATATACACGATTTCAACAAATTAAAATGTTCAAATGAAAAAACAACAAGGAAGACGACTCACAAAACAAACAAACAAACATTGACAATGTTAAAGTTACAGTAATACAGATAAATAAATTATAATATTCTCACTCTACATTATGAGATCTCCTTCCCCAAATTATGGGAAGTCTATAGGTATAATGTAACAATAATACTGAAATGGTTTTAATACTGGTGGGCATTGTTTGGCGTGATATGCAATATCGATATATTTTCACGTGCGAACACCTTATAACGACGAAATTAATATATAATAAATCGTTATCATTCATCTACACTGGATAACCTGCTCTAAATGACGTCAGGATTGTTTCCACGTCACTGCGTTATTCTATGTAAAGTCAGAAATGAGGTGACGTAGGAGCGCGTCTGACGTATTAGAACAGGATGTCCAAAATATCGGCCATCTTGTGCGTATGGTCCAATGACGTCATTCGGGCACCTGTTTACGATGACGTCATGGCGCAATTATAGTGACAAAATCAGACCAGACACTATCAGAACATTTATCGGGTACATGGTAATGGCGAAGAATGCAAATTGTGACAAAATTTGACCCCCATTTTTAAAAACTATTTTTCTCTACGCCCTTTTGTTAATATATATATATTTACATTATTTTGTCGAATGTGGTGTGTGAAACGACAACACAGATATTAATATGATTTTTATTTAATTTTCCTGAATATTTCCTGTGCAAAAGTGTAAAAAAAATTACATTATATTTACATAAATTTAAAAAAAAAACGAGCATATAACTGAAATGTTTCAATTCTCTAATATAGTTCATTATTTACACCAATCTGATTAAAACACAGATCCTATTTCGTTTCGTTTTTTATAGTTCAAAATTTCGTTTTACTTGTCTTTAATACACTAGGATCTGGAAGAGTTGTTATATAACCTGCGTTCTGGATGATGTGAGGGATTAGCCAATGAAACGGTCTGTTACGGCGAGTTTTGGCGTGAGGTGCACGGAACTATGGGTAACTCACTTGAAACATCAACGCTGATTGGTTAATTATGTAGTAGAGGCCATCGAATGTATAAAAAGCGAAACGAAATATTGATCTGTATTTTTACTCAGATTGTATTTAGATTTAAATTCAATATAAATAATTTAGCACACTGCCGTTTACACATTAGTATCTAACTATGAAATATAATTTTACAAATGAAAATATTTTCCAATTAGTTAAAAAAAAATGTCCAAGCAATTTCGTAAGAAAGACAAAATGTTCTTGCTTGCACATGTTAAAAGAGTTGCATTCCCGATGTTTATTTTGATTGGTTCATTAATTATACCACGTGGCAGATAAAAAGTTTGAAATGTTCGAACCAATTACTGGAATATAAACACTGAGGTCCAAAGCTGTTATATGTCTCCATGACAACACATAACGTTGCACGCTTAACTATGGCAACAGGCTATACTTGTGCCTGATAGGATAAAACATTTCCAAAACCACCCGGATGTGAATTGTTCATACGTAACGCTGATAAACTTTTACTGTACCAATCTTCTTCCGGTGATTCCTGAATTAAACAAATTTTAAAAAATCATGAAATTAAATATCTCAATAATATATACAGTCTCTATCTCATATACAAATATTACGTATTTTGGTCGTCATGGTAACGCGCTTTGTAAAGAAAGGCATAAGTACATGTATTTCATATCCCAATTTGATACCCTGTCGCCCCATGAGGTTGCATGCATACCTATCAATTATTGTGCTGCTAATTTTAGGCCAGTTGGGGAGACGGGTGGAGGGGGTGGGGGGTAATCCGGGTTAGAGTTAGGGTTAGTTACCTCTAACCTCACATCTAAGCCTTGTGATGTCTAACTTGGCGTGTATGAATTCCCAACTTCCCAAACTACCATAAAAAATAAATACTCTCGTGAAATAATGAACATGGGGTTTACCACCATCCCAACACACACACCTATGTAGGCTGTTTCCGAAGTAGCCTAGTAACATAAAACACATAATTCTTTAGCCAGCCGAGGAAAGTCACCGGAGAACGGGCAGAAAATCGCCGAGTTAATTTTGTGTCAGAAGATTTTTGCACTACGGAGAAGTTTACAAAATGGCCTGGGGTCGACGTTTCCTTATGTATAGGCTTGTTTGCTTTATTTCTGTTAAACTTACCAGACTATAGTCAGACGCCATTGGAAACTGCTGAACTTGTCTTGGTACCGACATAGACGCCATATTGGAAGATGGCTGAATTCCGGACATTGCCGAGAACTGAGCGACAGTTGGCGGATATGACGTATTCATCTGTGGGTATCTGGACATCGACATCGAGTTCATATTCATGTTCATATTAGATGGTGTTGGATAGCCGTATGGTCGAGTGTTTGTTGGGTAGATATTTCTCATCATACCGTTACACGTGGGTATGACAGGGGAAAGCGACTTAGCCAATTGTTTCTCCTGCTTTCTGTATTTAGCTCGACGATTCTGAAACCACACCTATAAAAAGAAAATAGTTATTTTTAATTCATGATGACCATTTTTTTGAATAGCTTTATTAAAGACTGGTGGGTTAAACTTGTATCTATTTACAACATTTCGGGTTGGGTACTTAAAGGGGTAGTGGGTGACATCGGATAAAGAGCTGGCAGTTCTCGCTATAATAGTTAAACGATAGATAATGAAAGCAAAATATGCTGAAAGTTTCAGTCATATTATTTCACTCTCAACCGAGATATTAGCCATTCGATTTTAGGCTAGCCTCGACCATCATTACTACCGTTGACACGATAATAAACAAAGTCTCGATTACCCAGTTTTACGTTAAATCTTCCATCACAAAACGTATTCAAATCCAGTAAATATCACAGGCTAACGATGGAACATCGAGAGTTGATTATGGTCTTGTCATGTTAATCAATGTCTAATCAATAAGTTAGATAACATTTAAGGCCTAAGGCAGATTTAACTTTAAAAAAGCCGAAAGTGTAAACTATTAAAGCTGTTGATTGTTATTTGTGGCATTTTGGATCCCCTACAAACTCACACTGATCAGCAGTGAATATTCGCGAGGTCGCTACAATCACAGAGGGATGACATCGATGCGACTTAATTAGCTCCCAATATTAACTTTTTTCCTTCTGCAAATTAAATTATAAAACTTTATTTTGAACTATTAGAAAAATAAATAATGGTGTGTGAAGTATATCTAGATAAGAAAAATATTTCGTACTTAATATACAATGAGTAAAAGGCGCCATTCTCTCCGGACTAGTTAACACAACAAAGTCTTATGTAAACAAAGCAGGCGCCATAGAGCCAATGATGGACGCTTCGATGTGACGTCACCTGTAGAAGGTTAGGGCACGTGATTGTTTGCGAGATTGTGGGTTAGGGTAAGCATTGGGGCTAGGTCCAGGCGCTTACAGAGACGGGCGCGTAGAAGAACATTAAACAGCTATAGTTCCATGGGTAGAAACCAATCTGATTAAAATACAGATCTACATTTCGTTTCGTTTTTTTTTATACTTTCGTTGGCCTACACTAGTGTGGTAAAGACAAGTAAAACGAAATTTTGAACTATAAAAACGAAACGAAAAAGGTTCTGTGTTTTAATCAGATTGGGTGAAAACGCTACTGTCCGTGCAAATCCAGTAGCATACAGCATCCCGTATGTCCGTCTTCAATATCCCGGTGGGTGCAACAAAAAAAATAGGACGTTAAAATCCATTTCATTTCATTTCGATTACTAATCCTGTCTATTTGATTAAAATGGGCGCAACGTTGCCTTTTTGTTTTCATGTTAGCCTTGAAGAAAAGAGTTGGGCAAATTATTCCAAGATGTAGGATCGGTCCGTGTTTCTATTACGTATTCAACAATGAGTAAAATTTATCGTGATTGGTGAAAAGGTTTTCTATAATTTGAGACGTGAATCACAGTAGGGTGAGTTAATGGCGTCTTGCATGAGGAGCTCGCCATTTTCCTTTCTATTCCATCTAGGCCATTATACAAGCCCCGCTCCTTCTTTATAAATAGGGAAATGGCTAAATAATGAAATTATGTCTGTAAATTGGTAGTTCCCTATCATTTTACTCTCTATTCAGTTTTTCTATTAGCGTTATTGTATCTCTTTCTATTAACAACCCTTTCTTCACCTGATGCTCGCCATGATCGATACGCCTCGTGACACGAGCCACGCGCCATCACGTGACACCCAATTACTACCCGCTTGTTGTACTCTTTCAATTTACAATTATGGTTTTTGTGTCTCTTATTAATTTGAACGCGTTTTGATCGTCTTGTATTAGCATTCCGATACAACCCATTGCTCAACAAAAACGCAGACCTTTCTAGAATTTCAATCGTCATCGACTTTTTACCGCCAAATCTCTCGCGAGAACATAATTCCAGAATTCATGACCTGGGAAGCACGCAGAAAACCGAATGAGAAGATGACACTGATGGACGTGTGTCGATCTCAGTTCAATAATAAAATTCTCCCAAGATTTCTCATATTCAGTCAGTAGAGAATTTATCAATATAGCTCCAAGATTAAAACATTGGAAATTTGTGGAGAAAAATGACTCCGGGCGAATTAAAAGTGAATTTTAAAATGGCCGCAAGTCGGTTGGCGGTCTTGGTTCTGATCAAGAATTCCAGTCAGTTACGAGCACGTCTCCTGGGGTTGTAAGACAGTAATGAAAATTGACAAAGTTGCTAATGTCGATGTCTTTGAAGAATCGTTAGAATCGAAGCCAGAAGCAAAAGAAAAAAAAATGCTGGGAAGATCGAGCGCTCGTCTTAACGTCTCCCCAAATACTTCTTAGAACAAATCTAATCAATGGTTTTCCCTTAAGCACCGCCATGTCTAAACTACAAGCAAGTGAAAATGGGCAGAAAATTCAGTTAGTTTATAAAGCTAAATAAACTAGTTTAGTTATCGCATATTGTAGGTTTGTACAGGGGAATGTTATAGAATTAATTCTTGTTGATTGTTAGGCCTTAGTCAAGTTATAAATTGTTTTAGGATCAGAAGAGAGAATGAAATAAAATAAGAATAAAATTAGCAAGAGATACGTGGACCTGACATACTTTATATCTAGTCCAATTTATTTACATTCAAAATGAAATTAAATAAAAATGGCGTTTAAGTAGGTTGTTTTGGGAAGGGGGGTGGGGATGGGGGTGTCTAACTGTAAAAATAACGATGCGATTTTAGATATAAGCGTTTGAAATTACAATACCCATTTTCACAGTGCGAAGGTAATATTTTTCGTACTGTTGAAGTGGTATTTACTAGCTGCACGCATTAAATTAACATTGTCTGTGATGCAGGATGGAGGGCCTGACAAGGACAGCTGTCTATTCGTTCGGGGGGTTAACGTCCACTCGACACAAACTAATTCATTTCGGGACTAACACATGGTTCAAATTTTAATTTCAATAATTTGCTTGCGCGTAGGGTTCTTTAGCAGTGCAAGGAAACCGGAGGAGCCGGAGAAAACCCACGAGGTTGGACTGGCCACCCTACTCCTTGTCACGTATAACCGGGGAATCGAAACCCCGCCAGTTGACTCAATGGCAGACCGCGTTGTGAATATTTGTGAATAGTTTGAACTGTTGTGAATATTTTAATTTATTTCGAATGAAATAATTAATTTTTCTTTTAATAAATTTATATTTCATATTAAAATATAATATTCGTCATTTCGTGTAATTGAAAATATTTTATTTCATACATTTGAAAATATATGATTATTGATATGAAGTTGCATATACTAAGTCGTATTATATTTTAATTTTGGATAAATTACATAGCTTTGTATTTAAATATTATATTTTATCCTAAGAATTATAATATTATACATGTGATTATTTTCAGGTTATTCTCAGAACTTTTATATTGTCATTAATTAATTATAGAATTTTAAAATTTATTCGGCCACCCGATCGTGCTTTTGCACATAAATTTTGTAAATAATTTTTAATAAATATATACGTATATCAGATCTCTAGAAATACTATTTTTGTTTGGTAAATATAAATTTTTATCATTTTCGATTTGTAACTTGGCAAAGTTATGATGTTATGTTCCGTGATACAAATACAGGAACCATCGTTGTCATGGTAATTACGGAAATATAATATTTATAAAAACAAATGTGTTGACATCCCTTGAATTCAAATGAGGCGGTCTTTCTTTATACTGTGCGGTGAAACGGTCATAGCACAATTTCTGCTAAAAATGCATTATTTTGGTATAGAAATAGTGTCTTATTATCTTTTTAATTTCACCCCGATTTAATCCAGATTGAATGAGAATAGAGGAAATTTGGTGAATTTTACTTTTACGGCTCCGAGACTCGGAACAGAAATTGGAAACCTGAGGTTTCGCTTTCTTCGCTCTTTTTTCGCTTCCGTCGCTTAATTATTCGCTTCCGTCGCTCTATTTTTCGCTTCCGTCGCTTTTTTGTTTAATGTTGATTTTTATAAAAAGGGTTTTTTATTTTCATATTCTTAATTTTGATTTATAAATAGCCTGCATATTGAACTAATTTTCCCCGTAAAAAATCGAAAAGTAATATTTATTAAACCGTATCTAGGTATATTCATCAATTTGATAGTTTTAACTTTGAAGAGATAATATCAAGCATCCACCTCAAAATTTCAGATTTGGTCAGGATTCTTGTTGTAGTAAAAACAGAGAAATATTAGCAAATTTGTGATGTTTACAATATTTTTCATTTTATAATATATTTATTTTTAGAATACCTCATTGAAAATCTTGCAAAATTTGTATAAATTCTGGGGGCGTATTAAATCGCTTTGATTATATCATCTTCGTTTTTTCTTGATTGGTGTTGTATTCCAGGATATTCTCACTTGCTATATTTCTATATATCCGAGTGATACTGTCTAATATAATACAATAAAACAAAACAACACAATTTATATGGAAACGAAATCACTAGTTTATACACATACAGCACGACGTTTCGACAAGTATCCTCTGTATATGTACAAACCAGTGATTATTTTCAATATAAATTGTGTTGTGTTTTTTAATGAGCTAAATAGCTAAATGCCGCTCAAGGATTAATATAATACACACTAAACGTTTTGATCATATTTTGTTTTTAAAGTCCCGATGCGTCACTGTCATTTTGCGCTAAAATATAAAATGTATCACAGCTTAATACAATAAATATGAACCATTATTTAACATTTAATTAAGAAAACAAAATAAAAATATCAACACTATAAATAATGTCCCGACTTGGATGCAATCCGACTTTTTTAAAAAAAAAAAAGGCCTGTCAATTAATTCTTGCAGACAGTAAAATGTCAGTGGGAATATTGGGTAGCGAGCAGCGTCAAGTCGATGAAATTTTAATTCCACCATTTTTAGACTGATATTTGTATGAGAGATTCAACTTTCACAATATATGATAGTTTACAAGGGATTCTATATGACGCATTAGGACTTTAATTTAAATTT